TTGTCATGATGGGCGCAGCACATCAGCATACAGAGGACAACAAATGGGTCAGCCTTATGATTGACGGCAGTGCGGCTACACATGATTGACCACAGCGGACAACAGACTGTCACACCTTTCTACGTTTGTGATTTTAAACAGCAAATTCTTTCGGTTACGAGGCTGGTGGAACAAGGTTTCCAACTTACACTGGTTGGTAATCCAAGACTACCAGCACAACAAAGGATTTAACAGCACGCTGGAGAACAGAGACGGCCGGTTCCTCCTACAGAATTACAAAAAGGAACAAAGCTACAGATACGGAGCACGCAGCAAGGACAGATTGGCGTGCTATGCTGCGCGCCTAAACCGCAAGGCATTGCGGACACAAGAAACGCAGGCGAGTTCACAAAAGGTGAACTTGTCAGAGTACACAGACAATTCAGGAAGACAACTGCCATCAGATTCAGGACTGGCACAACGAGCACGTTTGACGACAAGTAGCAAGCAATGGGCAATCCGCACAGAGCACAGCAACAGATGTAGAAAGGAGACAGCTTCAGTATCAAAAAAGTACAGCACTATTGGAGACACTACAGAGACACACCAAAGAGCGCACCACAGAAGGTCACACAGCAAGCGATTCAGTAACAATACAGGAGGCAGCATCACCACAGAACTTCCGATGGCTGGGGCGCGCTGCGCCTCGCTGCGCCTCGCTGGAATCGTCTTCTTCAGCTGCAATGCAAAGATCACTTTGCAACGATAGGGCTCCTGCTCGTTGCAGGGTCGTCTTGCAAATGGCGATGGTGGGGCTTCCAAGCTGCGTGCGGCCGTAGACGCCTGCGCCCAGACGTGGAGGCGCAATCCCCCGCTCAGTCTGTCAGAAAAAGAACACGGAGTGACGCAAAAGAAGCAGGGCTGTTGTTGCTGCGGCGGAATCTTTGGCAGCCTTCCCCCTGTCCCGCTGCTAGTCTGCAAGTTCCTTTGAGTCCGATTTTTAGCTCGGGCCACTTCCGCTGCCAGCATGCAAACGCGGGGCGTTCCGTGCGCCGGCCAGAGCCCGGCCTCCATCCTCACCTGTGCCAGGGCTCACCCGGCCGTCCTCACTTCGGCAGCGCTTCCTGTGAAGACTCGTCATGGCACGGCCCTTAGTGCGTTGGGCTCATAACCTGCAAGCGCCTCAAGGCCTGCGGGCTTTTCTTGGAGCAACCGAACAAAAGGGTCCGTGAAAGGTGACATGAAAGGTGATTGATGAAAGGCCGCACACGCTCTGAAACAACCAACCTAATGCGGGTAGAGAAACCCTAACAAGGATTGAAGCGCTGAAGCTGCGATCAGGTGGGTTTGGCTGGAAACTGCCTCGTTCTGCAAGCGCGTCGGAAAAGCAGGGCGAGTAGACATGATCAAAGTCCAAGAGTTGCTGATTGTATTTGTGAGGCGTTAGTCGTACCCTTGTCTGTCTCCAAGGTGTAAGCCGCTTGATGTCTGGCCCGTCGCGTGCCTGCTCTGGTGTGTAGATTGCTGGTGGCTCAGTGTACCCTTTTCCAGCTCATTTGCACGAGCATCCCCTCCGAAAAAAGTCCCCAGCATTTCCGCGTGTGTGATTTATTTGTATGTTTTGCTCAGCGCTGCCTGTACCGACTCTTACAATGAACACCAGCGGCGATACCATCAGCAAGCAAGGCACCTACACCACAGAAGGATGCAGCAACAAGCATAGCATAAAAAAGCGAGAGGCAAAGCGCAGCAAGAGCCATCATCACCCATGGCTGCAGCACCAACACACCACAAGAGACAAGCATTGCCAGCACCACCTACATCACCAACAAGAGACAGAGACGACACAGTAGCAGGACAACGGGCTGACGGTGGGCGGGTGCGCTTACTACCATTTGCCGGATCGCTGGGCACGGGTGCAGCGCTAAGCAGGCGCATGTGAGCGGATGCGCTTACCGATTGCCAGGCATGTGCTGTGTGGGGGTGCGCTGAATATTTGCTGGGCGTGGGCGCAGTGCTGAGCGGGCGCACGCGGGCGGGCGCGCTTGCCGTTTGCGCAGCGCTGAACGGGCGAATGGAAACGCGCGCAGCGGGAGAACGGCCAGGTATCTTGCCGTACCAGTGGGGAAACAAAGCAGCTTTTTGCTCGTGCGCAGCCTGGCGGAGGGAGCAACAACGCACCGCAGCCGACAGACAAGCACTGGGGCGACCTTCAACAGCAGAGCAACCAAAAGGCAAAATGAGACCCAATGCCATCAAATCCACAACAAGACATAAACAACATCCACAACGAGGACACAGAAGAGATAGAAAACGAGAGAATTCTCGCTCATGAGTGACATATGCATGACAGAGAAGGCTTGGATCCACAACTGGTGTGACAAGGCATGAAGAAAGAAGAGACAACCAGTCTTTACGGAGATTCATGGCAACAACACACTGAAATCAGAGCAACAAGCCAAGAAGATGTCAGCGTTGCATTCCTACATGCAGCAGCATCTCACACAACTTGGTAATCAGACCACCACAAGAATTCGACAACGAAGCAAACAGACACAACATGCGGCGGCTCAACAAAGCCATGTTCAGCTTAAGGACAATTGCACCTTCACCAGCAGCAGAGTGAGGACTGTACGCAATCGGTACAGCAGCACAAGAGAGCAACTTCACCAAGGAGGCATTCGAGGTACGCACCAACCTAAGGATACACACAGACAACAGCGCTCTTCATACAACAGTTTGTCAAAACCAAAACGATCGCAATACACAACGTAAGATCTGAGGGCAACCCGGCTGACAGGGTGACAAAGTTTGTCGGTTGTGACACACTCAACAAACACACGTACACAGTTGGCCTGTAAGGCCACTACAACCCGTTTCACCCAGTGTGTGCACAGTATGTTAAACAACAGTTGCACGAAACACACGTGTGTGTTTCACTACTACACCAGTCGGCATAGTAGTTTGGGGTAGATACATTGCCATGGATCAACCCCCTCTCGCTTTTACAGCCCCTTTTACAGGCTTTCCTACATGTGTCAGACAATGCTTTGATATACATGTGCAGACATTTGGTCATCACAGTTCTTTGGGTTCCCCTGTACATTTGTGGTACCAACCGGGCTTACAAGACCTTGCACAACTTGCTGGACATTTTCGCAACGTGAGCCGAGAACACATGGAACTGCTCACAAGAGGTGGAGCAGCACGGCTTGGTACATTGCCAGGGTGCTGGGATCCTCCTTGCAGCTTTGTTGACATCGATCACAGACTGCATCGCGTACATGGCTTGGCTGTATTCACAAGGAACAGAGACATCCTTGAACAAGAACACGCTTGGATCACTTCGAGGTACAGCATCAGACCTACAGGAAGCACCTCACAACTTTCCATACAGGATTTGACAGCCACGTGCTACAGATTGACCAACCTTTCACTTACACATAGCCATACGACCAAGACACAGCGATTCTGTTTAAGATTGCAGGCAGCGCCCGGGCAATTTGCAGTGAAAGCCGTTCGAATACAAAATACCTCTGGATTCAGCACGTGATCACGCTCAGTGCCATCGTCCACATCTCCCTATTGCAGATCCAAGAGCCTCTTGGAAGACAAGTTCGCGATTACTGGGTGGCACACAGACCTCGCCTCAGCCAGGCCCAGCCGAATTTGTGGCATACATCCCGGAGAACCACAACACAGTTGGCACACCGGACTTTGAGATAAAGATCATCCGCGCAGCAAGGAGCATCATGGCATAGATGCCCTGCCTTGTACATTGTCACATTTGTCTTACTACATTCCGAAACCCTAGGATTTGTACAGCATAAGCCTACGAATGGATTGCGCCTTGTACACTTGCTAAAATACATTTGTCTTGCACAGTCAGTGACACATCTCTCCTGATGCAATATGTACATCAAGGCCTTGAGCCTGTGCCTCGGTGCCTTGCCCCGCGGAGAAAAACAACAGCCGCGCTGCTACACTTCACAGGTTTGCACATCAGGCAACACAGCGTTTCCAAGTTTAACAATAATGTATACATATATACATAGAGTCATAGAGATATGTAATATAACTTGCAAAAAGGTTCATCTCTACCCCAAGGAACCCAAAGTAAACCAGCCCTTAGGGGCCCCCAGTTCCCAGTTGAGCTGCACAGCTCGGCCGCTCGTCTCATCCCGCCTCATCCAGATCGTTACAACCCCTTTTTGTTGGCAGAATGTTCCCCCTCACGGGGGTGGGATGAACGAAACTCGGTGATTGAAACAAGGGATTTGATTCAAACCCAGCTTCCCAGATTGGTTCATCAGATTCTTGAAGAAACCCTGAGGGAACAGCCCCTTTACAGCCCGCTGTGGGGTTACAACCTGCTACTTGCCCAAAGAACATGGACATAAAAGGTTAACCTTTCGGGATGACTAGAAGTGGACCAAAATAGCAAAATCAAACAAAAGCGTCAAAAGGTCGGCTTTGGACAAGAGAAACCCACTCACTTTTTTGGAAGCGACCCTGCCTCAACTAACTAGGCAGAAGCCCAGCCCGCCTCATCCAAACAAATCGCCGGCCCCCGAGCCACCAGTCGACTCGGGCGAAGCGCTGTCAGCGGCAGCTCCTCGCCCGCAAGCAGCACGGGGCCTCGCTGCCCGCGAAGGGAAGGTGAGCGAGGCACACCTTTTCAATCCCGGATCCCTGGGGTTCAACCCCCATGAGAAGAATGGTTGACCCAATTTGGATGATGAAACTCCTTAAATAATGGTGGTTTATTAACCTTGATTGTGTTGATGGCGGTTTGAACCCCGGGGGATGTACCCAAACATGAGACACTCAGACTCTGGTCCATACTTTCTTTACTCTGCAAAACAAGATTTGCAGGAGACCACAACAAATAACACACGCTTCACCACAAGGAAATGGTGTTGGGGGGGGAAGGGGGACACAGAAACATGGATCGCCTTTCAAGTTCTAGTTCATCGTTGGGCTATGCCCTTGTCCTCTTTTCTTTCACGGCCGGGCACTGCTCAGCGCTCGCTGGGCGCCACGCGGATGCCTCCGCCCGCGCGCTTGTGCAACTCCAAGACGCACCCGGAACCTGCCGCCGCGGTTGCTGTCCGTCGGAGGGTTTGTGTGTCGCTACCTCGGGCCCCTTGGAATTGCCTCCCCTTGGAGTTCGATAAAACTTAATAGAACACCATAGTTTTACTAGAAACATCAGGCCCTGCTCAGGTAAGTTCTAAATAGGGGAAATCATCTCATGAAACTGGGAAACTCTTCTTTTTGGTTGAAAAGATAAGACATGTGGAATTGTGGACCCTCCCTTTCCCTTCACCCTTCGGGAAGAGCCAGGTTGTTTTGGATAGTTGCGTTCAAGAAAACAAACAAAAACGCCAACCATTTCTTTGGTGACATACTACGAACCATCGTGAGCATTCCCCCAAAGCAAGCCAAGGTGAAATATTATGTCCATGTGCATTGTCCTTCATAAAATGCTTTCCCGCAGGAGTAAAACCACTGCACTGAAAGGTACCCTTGACAGGGGCAGTGGCCAGGCGGGATGAAGGGAAGCCGTTCGTTTGTAGGTTAAACAAGGGGAACTGTCAGAAAAACGAGACACACAAAACCTGATATGTGTCAGTCAGTCTTAGTGAGCCGTAAAATATAAATCGCAAATCCCAAAGAGATCCAAAAGGTCTGAGTTTCAACTGGGGTGCTTGACACTGCTTGCCCCTCCGCCCCGCCTGGGTCGAAGCGCTCGGCCGAACAGATCCCACCACAGGTCGGGTCCCACTCCTCGGAGGAACGAGCGCGGGCCCGAGCTGAGGTTGGGAGGCGGCTAAGTGGATTGATACTCAACCCACGGCTAGGGATACTCAGTAACCCTAGCCGTGGGCTCAGTAACCCTAGCCGTGAATTGAGTTATCAATCCGTTTGAGTCGTCTGCGCGTCCGACGCGCCCGAACGTCCGAGGGGCCGGGAAGGTCCGCAGGGACACCACACCTCGTCGGTCCCAGGAAGCGCTGCTCACCTGGACGCAAACATATGCAGGGAACAAAAAGGGAAAGGGACTTGTTTGTCCAACCCCCAACAAGATTTTGGATCTCTATTTCACGTTCTGGTTTATGGGCGGGTTGGAGCAAAGGATAGCCCTGAAAGAATGGGCCCATGCGCTTCCCCGCCTCGCAGAGGCTGGAGCTGGCATGCAGGGCCTCATCCAGACTGGCCCGCAGCCAGACGTGGGAGCCTCGGACCGGGTTGGGGACACTTTGCTCAAGCAACCCACCCGTCCCCAACGGAAGTCAAAAGCAACTTGCTTAAGGAATCGTTAAGCAGTGCGCAAAACCTCGAAACCATTGTTTAAACAAGGGGTTGCCCCAACCTGGCCAGCTTTGCTGCTGCGGAGACAAACGCTTTTGGCGCTGATCCGCAGTTGTCCATAAGAAAGGAATCTGCCAAGTTGTGTGGCAACAATGGGTTAAATCACTCCAAGTTGCTGTCCTTCAGCCTTCCAAGGGGTTGCCTAAAAACAAATTTCAGAATCATTCCAAGACTTGGAACAAGAAATCCCCACGTCATGCGTGTTTGCTCGTTGTACGCCCCCAGGTAAGCTTGCAAGAAACGAGGCGGTGACATCGAATGGCCACAGGTTGCAGCTGGTGAATGGCTCATGCAGTTCCCCATTTCGGTTCAGTCATCCCCTTTACATACCCACAAAAAGGGAATCGTGAATTCATTCTACCTTCACGCTGGCGCACACTTTGCTCAGCTCTCCAGTAGCTTGGCTGCCGACAGAAGGCATGGGCAGCTGTCACCAGCACTGCCTAGGCGGGGAGGCTTCCCCGTGATTAAGAACCCTGATCATTGTCATTTCTGAGGTGGTATTTTCAAGGAATTCAAACGGCCTCAGTGGGATAGTGCCCCGAACCACGAAAGGCTTGTATAATCAGGATGTCAATCCAATCACTGATAAACTGCTAAACTCGCTTGACAACCAAAGGTCTGGGAGATGAATGGCAAACACCTTTTTGAATTTGGAATCTGGTCCACGGTCGACCGAAAGCGGCGTTGGCCTTCGGGATGGCTTGACTCCTAAGGCTTGGGCTGGCTTGTCCTGATCTTCACTCCTGGGTGTGGCGAGTTGCACAAAGTTTGGGCACCCCAAACCAAACCCAGGGTGTCCTTTTGGAACAGATGGCACTGGTTGATAAGAACCAGCTGAACAAAGACACACGAGCGCTATCTATTTTGCGCCAAACTGACTTGAAAAGGCCGCCAATAATCCATCCCCACCCATTTTGGGCCACCATCATGACGTCCGAGTCCGGAGTCGATCTTGTTGAAGACATCTTGGCAGGATCCAAGTCGATTCTATGTAGGCACGTGGGTCCCCAAATCAACCCCACACTCAAATAGGTTGCACATGGTAGGTAATGGACCTCCTTGTGACCGAAAGAAAGAAGGATGGGAAAAAACAGCCTGAAGATCCCCCCCAGGGGCTTGATAAGCCTTGTTTTGTGGGAAATAGTTCTGTGCCACCATAGGGGGGGCCCAAAAAAAAGGCGCGTCTCTTGTAACACGCCCAAAAAAGGGTGCCGGGGTACCCTCAAAAAAAAGGCACAAGGCCGCAGGGAGCTACCTGCTCCGCTACAGCGTCTCTGCTTCCGAGGGGCTCGTCCGCCACTGCCTGCAGCTGCTGGCACAGCGCATCCTCCGGGAGCATCATGAGGCCCCCCACGCCCTGCCGTCGAACCGTCTGAACATGGCGGGCAGGAGTCCTTTTTTGACTACCACAAGTCTACCAGGTAGACTTAAAGCCAGGCGGTTCCCTTTTCGGCAAATCAACAACCCCTGGGATTTGGGTCCACTTTGGGAAAGTAAAAATAGAACCCTGGTTGTGGGAAACAACGACAGTGGGCCACCCCCCGTGACAACTTTTGCATCTTGCGATCTTGGTGGATGCCCTTGGTATCACAGAAAATGGCCTCAAAACCCTGAACACCCAATTGGATCCGCTTCGATCTGCCGCGTGTGGCAGGTAGCAGGTGGAAGAAATGGCGCCACCTTTAGCATTCAGGCCAGGCGCCACCGCTTCAACTGAAACCAACCGGCGGAAACAACAGATCGTATGGGCCACACTTTCTTGCTGTGTCAAAAAGCACGGAATTGCACGGACTGTGCAAAAGTTCCTGTGCATTTCCATGTCTGCAGAATTTCCGGAAGCCGAAGCGGGCATCGCCCACTCAGCCCCTCAGTGTCCGCAAAATGCGGTTGGTCCACGACTTTGGACCCGCAAAGGGGCGCATTTTGGGACACACACAAACACGTCTACTTAGGTCATTTCACACCCAGCCTGCGGCCGAGCTCCCTTTTCCTGGCCTGCGGGTCGAGGCTGCATCCCAGCACCACCCAGCGGCTGAGATCGAACCTGAAGCGGCCCATCAATGGGATCTCAAAGCCCTGCCGTTTTCCCAGCCCCGAACCCCCATCTGGCTTGCCCCACATATGCCCTTGGCAAGGCCGTGAGTAACCAACGTACGCGTCTAGGAAGGCCTTGCCAAGCATAAGTGATGAGGGGGCGATCCATTGACCAACTGGGCAATTCAACAAAAAACAAACAAAAAACAATCAATCCCCGTTTTGCGGCAGACATGGTTGCCAAGGAAACATTCCCGAAAGAGCAACTAACAAACAGTCCATTCTCTTTGGGTCACTACACCGCTGCAAACCTGGCACCCTACAAGCGGGTCGTATCTCCAAAGAAGATTGCTTAAATTGCACAGTCAAAAAATCCTTTAAAAAAGAGCCCCTAAAAAAGACACGTCCCGTGTTGTGAGAAACATGCAAACAAATGTTCTGAGCTAGTAAAGAGCGAAGGTTTCGATACGGGTAAGGTCCAAGGCTACGTTCCCATTTGGCTCCGGACACGATTCGATCAAGGCGCTGCAGGCGCAAGGCGAAGGCCCCGGGCGCGCATAGACGCACCACTCCCGGGTCCGAAGCGGATGAAACCGCAAGCTCCTGCGAGGCGAGCCGTGGCCATGGACACAGAAGGGCGCACTTGCTACTTGCCGACTTGTTCTTCCAGGCCCCCCCGATGGCCGGTAATTGGCGTCCCGGGTGAAGTGCCGGCAATTGACCAGCACTTGCTTAAAAATAGTTTTGTAGTCACATGGATTTGTTTGCCATCATCAAAGTGCAGTGAAAAGTCACTTTTGTTGAAACGTCACTTCCGGATACTAGAGGGGATCCAATTGAGGGGTTGGGCTGGCATGTATGATCATTGCACATGCAACGGTGGGGGGGGAGGGGGGGCGACACGCTGATGACACGCTCATATCCCAAAAAAGTGACCGTTCAACGTACATGTGCCGGCAATTGGCCACCCCCCGACACGCAGTGACACGCCGTGACACGCTCCTCAAGAACCCCTCCCAACCTCAAACTTGCCCTCCAAACCTCAAATTTTCTGCTCTCCCCTTTCCCCTGCAACCCCATTCCAAAGGACCTTGAAAGGTCACTTGTATCATTGCACAAATTGCACTAAGTACAGATGAGTGATAATTGATAGCAAATTGCTTTTGCAGTCACTTAGACATAAAGTGACATCGTTTTGCCCAAAATCGATGTGCCGGCAATTGGCCAGCCATTGGGGGGTGCTGGTTGTGGATGTTTCGTTTTCAAACCCCCTCTAGAGGCCCTGAGAGCCAGCACGCAACGTCGACCCAAGTTGTCTTCGCGCAAACCTGGAGGTTCCTCACTCGAGGAAATCAACCTGGGCGTTGGTCCTGTGGAACCCTGGAAAAATAAGCCTTGCTGAGCCTGAACATAGTTTGTTTGAGACCGGACAATACCGGGAAACCAGAAGGTCAGCTTGCGCCAATGCTTTGGAAAAAAGCTATGATAGCCATCGACGCGTTCGTGCTACTGTAGTTCCTTTCAGTTGGATTGCCATCCTTTCGCTGATCTTGTTCGGTATCACAGAAAGTGGCCCTAAACACCTCATTTCTCACTACAGCACCCCTCGAAACCGAAACAAATCAGGGCAAAGCTTGAGCCGGGGCGCCAAAGTCATGCAGATCCTGACAGACATGCAACAACATCCTTTCCCACACGGCTTCCCCTGGGGCACCTGTTCACCAAACATGTAGCTGGGCTCCGATTGGACGCAAAGCCCTTCACGACTTAGAGAAATAAGCAATCGGCCTGCATCCAAACGACCAGTCAAAAGCAGCTGAACCTCCCCATATTACATAGTATACGTTGGCTGTTGCCGCCAAGTACAAATAGCTTGTCCGGATTCTGTTCCATATTCAGTACCTATGTGCTTGATAATTTCAGAAGAGATCCCCGAAATGCTCTCCTTCAACAGTCCCGGAAAGGCGAAAAGGCCGACAAGGCCGTGCCGAAGACTTCACCTGATTCCATGCTCACACAAGAAAGATGCCCTCAAACCACAAGAACGAACTCTATCCTACTCTGGAACCACCACTCACAAATCCTAACCAACCGAAAAGAACCGTAAAGATTCGCCACCAAAAAGATCTCCATCCTTCCCCCTTCCCCTGCCCTCAAAGAACCAAGAACACGGGCCCACAAAATACCGAGAACCGCTACTCAACCCACCCGGAGAATTTCCCATCCCGTCGCCTCGCGCGCTTCGCTCGCGCGGCTCTGCGCCAGCGCCGCGCGCGCGCCGAGGCGCAGGCGCCGGGCAGCTTGGGCGTGCTGACGCTCGCTGAGGCGGCGGTCTGCGTCGCGGTGGCAAAACAACTCAGCAGGTTTCTCAACATTCAAATACCCCAAAATGCCTTGGTTTCCACCTTCCCTACAGTATTACGGGTAACCCAGAAGGGTCCGACCTTTTGAGAAACTCCCACTTGGGGAACAAATAAGGTGTTTTTTCTTGTTCATGGGCGTATGTGTTTGTGTTGGTGTCTTTGTGCCTGTGTTTGCTTTGGTTTCTTATGTTGCGTCATGTGTGTATGCGTGTCCATGTGTGGGTGTGGGTGGGTGGGTGGCCTTGTGGTTGTGCTTGTGTCTGTGTTTGGGCTTGTGTGTGTGTGTGTGTGTGTGTGTGTGTGTGTGTGTGTGTCCATGTGTGGGTGTGGGTGGGTGGGTGGCCTTGTGGTTGTGCTTGTGTCTGTGTTTGGGCTTATGTGTGTGTGTGTGTGTGTGTGTGTGTGTGTGTCTGTGTGTCTGTGTGTCTGTGTGTCTGTGTGTCTGTGTGTCTGTGTGTCTGTGTGTCTGTGTGTCTGTGTGTCTGTGTGTCTGTGTGTCTGTGTGTCTGTGTGTCTGTGTGTCTGTGTGTCTGTGTGTCTGTGTGTCTGTGTGTCTGTGTGTCTGTGTGTCTGTGTGTCTGTGTGTCTGTGTGTCTGTGTGTCTGTGTGTCTGTGTGTCTGTGTGTCTGTGTGTCTGTGTGTCTGTGTGTCTGTGTGTCTGTGTGTCTGTGTGTCTGTGTGTCTGTGTGTCTGTGTGTCTGTGTGTCTGTGTGTCTGTGTGTCTGTGTGTCTGTGTGTCTGTGTGTCTGTGTGTCTGTGTGTCTGTGTGTCTGTGTGTCTGTGTGTCTGTGTGTCTGTGTGTCTGTGTCTGTGTGTCTGTGTGTCTGTGTGTCTGTGTGTCTGTGTGTCTGTGTGTCTGTGTGTCTGTGTGTCTGTGTGTCTGTGTGTCTGTGTGTCTGTGTGTCTGTGTGTCTGTGTGTCTGTGTGTCTGTGTGTCTGTGTGTCTGTGTGTCTGTGTGTCTGTGTGTCTGTGTGTCTGTGTGTCTGTGTGTCTGTGTGTCTGTGTGTGTGTGTGTGTGTGTGTGTGTGTGTGTGTGTGTGTGTGTGTGTGTGTGTGTGTGTGTGTGTGTGTGTGTGTGTGTGTGTGTGTGTGTGTGTGTGTGTGTGTGTGTGTGTGTGTGTGTGTGTGTGTGTGTGTGTGTGTGTGTGTGTGTGTGTGTGTGTGTGTGTGTGTGTGTGTGTGTGTGTGTGTGTGTGTGTGTGTGTGTGTGTGTGTGTGTGTGTGTGTGTGTGTGTGTGTGTGTGTGTGTGTGTGTGTGTGTGTGTGTGTGTGTGTGTGTGTGTGTGTGTGTGTGTGTGTGTGTGTGTGTGTGTGTGTGTGTGTGTGTGTGTGTGTGTGTGTGTGTGTGTGTGTGTGTGTGTGTGTGTGTGTGTGTGTGTGTGTGTGTGTGTGTGTGTGTGTGTGTGTGTGTGTGTGTGTGTGTGTGTGTGTGTGTGTGTGTGTGTGTGTGTGTGTGTGTGTGTGTGTGTGTGTGTGTGTGTGTGTGTGTGTGTGTGTGTGTGTGTGTGTGTGTGTGTGTGTGTGTGTGTGTGTGTGTGTGTGTGTGTGTGTGTGTGTGTGTGTGTGTGTGTGTGTGTGTGTGTGTGTGTGTGTGTGTGTGTGTGTGTGTGTGTGTGTGTGTGTGTGTGTGTGAGTGTGTGAGTGTGTGAGTGTGTGAGTGTGTGAGTGTGTGAGTGTGTGAGTGTGTGAGTGTGTGAGTGTGTGAGTGTGTGAGTGTGATTGTGATTGTGATTGTGATTGTGGTTGTGGTTGTGATTGTGATTGTGATTGTGATTGTTTGGAGGGTACCCTTCTCAATCTAAATCGAAGAAAGGAAAACCAAAAGGAAAGCAACTTGTTTGGGCTTCTCCCCATTTCGACACAAGTCGACTTCCTGAGTGAATGGGACAAACACAAACTCTCCTGTGCCACAATCATGGTGTTCCCAATAGTTTAAGTCCAGGAGCAAAAAACTGGGCACTTCCGTTTCGCAACTTCATGTTATACAGGACAATCCCTTTAGAAAGAGATGATCATGGCACCACTGAAGGTGCGGGCCAATGGCCCTCAACTTAACCAAAGGTTCGGAAGAAACTCACCGAGCGCTGCCGGGGTTCAGGAAAGGCTCGGAGCAACGGCCTCGGCCGGCAATGAGATCCCCCACCATGGCCGGCACACCCAAGCAGCCGTCGAGGTGCATGCCTTGCAAGAGTCCTCAAGGCAAATGTAGGTTGGACAGTTCTTCCAGAAAAGGGGTTCATGAGCTATACCAACCCCGGAACAGCCTCCCAACCTCCTTCATCAAGGGACGCTTCCCCGCTTCAGGTCCCTTTGATGGATTATTTTTAAGGAAAGAAAGTCCCAACTTGACAAGTGCCTTGTACTTGACTCGTGCGCATTTGACAAGGGCCTGACACGACATTCCCTGAATATCAATGGTTTGGCTTTACAAGACTTGTTTGGACTCAATGCCGACAGAAGGCCCACGCCCCCTTGACCCCTTAAGACCTGAGGAGACTCATTTCAGATGGGCATTTCCAAATTGGCCTTTTCAAAAGCTGATTGTTGAATCACCAAGAAGGAGATATCTAAGGAGGCAGACCGTGTTCATTTTGGTACATGGGCCCTTCAAGATAGTCATCGTGTGCAAAGGCAGACACACGCACCCCCCCCCCCTGGTTTTGGGTGTTTCCACAACATTGAGACAGTTCAACCAGGCCAAAAAAATCGGCGGCCTCACACCCAGTCGTCCTGCCGCCACATCTGTGGGAGGCTGCCTCGTGGCGAGCTCCTGGAAGCAAGTCCGCCAAGGCCAGGGATGGTTGCCTCCACTACGCTGTCCCTTTCTAGGTCTCTTTAAGCCTTTGCGTCCTATTGTGTTTGTTGATTGTTGTGGTTTTTCTCGCTCTTTTTGTGCGTTTTTGTTGTTTGGGGGGGGAATGCAAAAGTTGAATCTGCTGCCGCTATTGGTTGCCCCTTTCTGTCAGAAACCCTTCAAGGGTACGGTTGATGCCCTAACCATTGCAAGGGCAACAAGGGGAACTCATCTAGTGTAATTGTTGCCCGGGTTTTGTGGTTCACTGGCAATATTTAGGAATCTGCCGCAATTACTTGTTTGTGGGTATTTGCCCCAACCTGAAATTCTCTCTCAACCGGGAGTACCTACTTCACATGGGGAAGGGGTGTGCAACATCATGATTCAAGGATACCCACTCTGCGTGATTGAACCGACCCTTGGATTCCTAGGACTGTGACTACTTTGCCACTTTGGGGAAGCTGAGGCAACTCAATCCCAGTCCTCACACTGTGGCCATTCGACAGAAGGAGAGGGACCCCCTTGAATAGAATCAAACACTCCTCAAGGAAGGCTCACTCTTTCCTGGGAAGGGGTCAAAGACGAACCCTGTTTCAGTAAACCCTCCCGCCAACATGGGGGTGCACTGTGGACTTTGGTGCTTGCTCGTGCGAGACTGGTTCCACATGGTCAAGCTATCAAAGGTTTTGGATACACACGCCCAATCAGCAACTGGGGGCTCTTTCAATCGATTGGCCCGTCTCCGCAGAACACGGAGCTCCTATTGAAACCAGGGACTGTCCAGGACAAGTGTGTCAAACTAAGTTTCTGTTGGCTTGCCGCTTTAATGCGTCATTGCTTCATTTCAAGGGTGTCCTGAAGGTGTGTTTGGGCACCCATGGGTTGGACACGTTCGCAAATTCTCGGCGCTGTTTTGGAAGGTTGTTGGCATAGGTGTCCTTTCAGAGGAAATAGATGGCCCTAGATGATTAAACCACCAGGTACACCAGGAATCGCCATCTATGGTCCTGGCACAGCTCGTGGCGCTTCTGCTCCAGCTGCGCCAGCTGCGCCCGCTGCGCTAGCCGAGGGCCCTCCCCTGTTCGCACGATTCAGCCACGGATCCCAGCTGCATTTGGGGAAACTTCGGCCCAAGTTTGGGATCCCCGGTTTCGGACCTGAAAAATGTGTTGTCTTCAACGGGAAATGAATTTTGAAGGTCGGCCTATCTTTGGAAAACATCCGTCCGTGCACTCCAATCTCACAACCTGCTACAAGGAATCCTTCATGGGGCCCGTTTGCCCTGTGTAAGCCTTCCGGATTGCATTCAGCACAAATGCCTTGAGAGATCACACACACCCCAGACTTGAACACAGAACAACGCGTGTAAACGCAATCATGCCCACAGTAAGATGTGCTGAAGCTTGAACAAGTTTCAGCAGTATCCCTGGTGCAAAGAGACAATAGCTTGAGATACCACCCGATTGAAAACCGACGTCACTCCTCAAGGAGTCACGCAGGCAAATTGGCAAGGCGAATAAGGATTCCACATTATGGGCATTCATTTTGATTGGGTCGATTCGTCTTTCCCAACCATTTTGGACGGCGTGGAAAACCACCCGAAAACAGCCAAACAACCGCAAGTTGGCCATTTTACAAATGAGCTGTACTTGAAGGCAAAGATCCAATAGCATGGTTGTTTCTCAAAATTATGGACCTCAGGTGGATGCTTTCCTTTTGCCATCCCTTTAAACCATTCAAAAAAGGGCCTATATGTCGAGAAACAACCTCCTCTCGGTCCGCAAACATGGGCGCCCTTTATTCTGGACCCAACTGATACAGACATTTGTGCTTAATCCTTTCCGAAGCCTACGCCCAGTGCTCAAAGCAACGGTTGGTTTAGAGGTGGTTTTTGTAGTTAGGGTTGCTCGGTTAGTGTCTGCAGTACTCCTCTAAACCCACTCTGAGCCAACCCTGAACCCACCCTAAGCCAAGCTTGACCAGCCGTAAAATAATGCAAACCCAAGCCTGCACCCACCTAAACCATCCCAGACCGACTCTAAACCAACCTAAACCAGCCCAGCAACCCCTAGCGCAACCCCGCAGCCACCCTAACTCCATCCTGAAACACATAAGCCTAATCCCACTAACACTATGTAAGCCATCCAGAAACTCAACCCTGACCTCCTTAAATCCACCCTAAACCAACCTGGCCAATCCTAAACCCGGGCTTGGAGTTGGTTGAAGGTTGGTTTGGAGTCGGCTCAGGGTTGGTTAGGGTTTGTGTAGGGCTGGCCTAGGGTTGGTTTGGGTTGGGCTTAGGGTGGGTTTAGTGTGGCTTAGGGTGGGTTTAGGTTGGACTTAGGGTTGTTTTTGAGTAGCCCCCCTGGAGCGACGGTACTGTCGCTCGTTTTACAGAAGCAGGCTGTTCGTCGCACAAGCAGCAACATGCGTTACACAGCAACCCCTGAACTTAAATATGTTCGCCGCGCAAGCAGCGCGCTTTTCACAGAGCAGCTTTCACAACGTATACGTCGCTCTAGCAGCAACATGCTTCACACTAGCAGCAACGTCTTTCACCCGCAGCCTCTAATCACGTACGCGCCAGCAGACCAACAGCAACATGTCACACACACAACAGCCCCGGCAGCTCGCTCATGCGAACGTTGACCCCGCAAGCAAGTCTTTCAGTAGTGTACATCTTGCTCCTGCGCCTGTCGCGCCCGCCGCCTCCTTGCTCGCTGCTTTCGTGGTGCGTCTCTGCAGGCTACTTGGACTCCCTGTTGACCGCTGCTTTGCTGGCCGTAGGACTCAGAAAGTTGTTCTAAAACGCGAGGATTGGTTTTGGGTTTAGGGTCGGCTGTGTTGGTTCTATTAGGTCGGGCTTAGGGTTGGATGGGTGGGATGAGGGCTTAGGAGGGTTTAGGGTGGGTTTATTGCTGGCTAGGTGCGGGGTTGGATTACGGTTGGATCAAGGTTAGGCTGGGTTTCGAGTCTCGAGCTTCTCCCGCCACCAACGTGGTGGTGTTCATCCTCTCGTAGGTGACCACGTCCACGATCTGAACGGTGTGGTTCAGGATGCCTTCCTCACCACCGTGAGCAGAACCACCACCATGAGCGGGTGATCATGCCGTAGATCTTGTCCCGCTCCGCTACCAAGCTGAAGTCACCCAAAACCACAGGGCGAACGAAGGCGCAGGCGCCTATCTCCATTGCTTTGCTCATCCAAGTCGCGCTCGAGGGGCCTAGTGCAAAAAGCCTTCTGTGCCCGCAGGCTGCGGATTCAGGTGATCAACTACTTTTTAATGGTGTAGGGTGGGTTTCGGTCGGGTTTGGGTTGGCGTTGGTGTAGGGTTGGTTTAACCCAGGCGGGTGAGAAAAACAAGGTTGTTGGGGGGGGGGGGGGGAAGCAAGTGAAAAACACAAGGTCGGTAGTGAAAACACAAGGCGGAGGGTGAAACAAACAAGGTGAGGGGTTGAAAAGAAAAGCAAGGATTTCTGAGGGTTAGAGAAACAAGGTTCCCGCAGATGGTTCCCTGAGGGTTGAAAAGGAGGGTTCCCATTTGTTTCCGGTTGGGCCTCCACAAAAAAGAGAAACAAAAGAGACGCAGGGTGAACAAACAATGGGTAGCCCATTTATTTCTGGTTGGGCCTCCTTGAAAAAAAACAAACTTCCGGGCCTGGCGCTTCGCATTTCTCGGATTGCCCCGCCTTCGTTGGTCTCCAGCCAGTCCTGTGCCTCGATGGCGGGCTCCAGGCCGAAGCCCAGCCTCTTGCGGACTTGCGGCTCGCTGCCGGCTGCAGGGCTTCGCAGGTTTGAGTCTTTGGCTCTATTTACCAAGGTGCCATGTGGGTACCACTTTTTGAGCCACAGCCATATGAGCCATGTGTGATTCTGGCTGCTTCTGAGCTGATACCTTGCTTGGGTGGGTTTGAAGGGAACCCAGAGGAAAACCGAAGCGGTTGCATTTTTTTCCGCAGTTTCTCCAAGTGGAAAGCCCTTTTGGAAGTTGGGGTTTGAAGCCAAAAGGAAACCCTTGCCATTTTTGGAAACCCCTATTTTGAGAAACATACACGCAACTTTGGGTGACCAGCCACAAGAGGTCGAGCTGGGCCCAGCACGTGCCAGGAGCATCCCTCTTTTTGCAATATGTTTCTCAAAATACAGGTCCCCTACAATGGTTAAATTCCTTTTGGTGTCCCTTTATAAAGTCCAACCAAAAGGTCCGAATCGTCAAGACATCGGAGCCCCAGAGTGCTGGAAGCTCATGCGGAAGGGATACTCCCCAAACATGGGCCTAGGCAACTGGACGGTGGAACTCTGTGAAGTCGAAAGTTACAAAGGGATCTAGGACCCTCCCAGTGATGTCAAAAAAAGGAAGCCAACCTTCAAAGGCAGTACGACATGCCGAAACAGAAGGTTGTTGGCCAAGGGGTTTAGGCCCAGGCCATTTGGGAGGAACAAATACATGGTCTGGATGATTGGCAACTCGAAAGGATCAGTTTTGCTACCCCAGGGCAACTCCGTATAGTTCTTTTCCAGAAACACCAGCCCGGAAGGGTCCTTTCCCACTTCCAATTTCAGCTGACGCTTATTTTTTTTTCATACAAAGACAAGTCAGTCGCTGTAAAGAACTGGACGGAAAAGGTTGGAACCCGAGTACAAGGGTAAAAGGGGCGCGCGGGGGCGCGCGCGTAGCTGCGTAAGCATGTTCCTTTCACCGAAGGTGTTGGCTCACGCGGCGCGTTTTTGTGTGTGAAAATTCGCTACTGACCACTCTAGCGGTTCACTGTGGGATTGCAAAAGGCAACCTCGCTCTTGTGCAAATCAAACAAACCCCCAAAGGGGGGGGTGCTCCGAAAGGCAACTCCTCCAAAATGACAGGGGTTTTGTCCGCTTCCAGATGCCTCTCGTCACGGACGTATGCCAAACACCAGGGGTCCTTACCCCGATCGGCAGGGATTTGGACCCTTGATGCCTGGCAAAGGGCAAGCAAAAGAACCCTCACCAATTGTCTACAGGGCAACTTGTATCCAAACACAAACTTTCTACGGGAACGATCCCAACTTTGCGCCTGGATCCCGACCCTTTTTCCTTGACGGCCTAGTCCATCCTTCGGGTGTCGACCCTCAAAGCGACGAGTCGTTGATTTCAAGGCGCAGCACGCTGAGCCGCAGGAGCCGGCCCTGCGCCCGCTGGAGCGCCGCCTGACGAGTTGCGGGGCCCGCCAGTTCGTGGATAGGTGAACCCGAAGATGGGCCACCTGGAATTGCAGGTTATCCCGGGATGAGCCAGCCATCAGCCATTCAGGTTAAGCCAGAGGTAACCCTTCACCCATGTTTAGGTCCTAAAGAGCGGTTCCACTGGTTAACACCCATACAAATATAACATTTGGTTCACCTTTAGTTGCCTGATGTTAAATTCGGATTGATCTGATCAGACCAGACTACTTGGGGCTGGTTCTGCTTGCTCCTGAAAAGACTGTCAGAGTATTTCGCTGGGAAGGTGCACCAACCCCTGAACCTCCCCGTCCAAAAGCTTTTTGCCCCCCGCCCCCCCCCCAGCCCCCCACAAGCAACCAAAAGCAAGGTCAGTCTTAAGGAGGTCTTTGCTTTCTTGCAGCGCTTGTTGTTGAGAGGGCAAGTAACCAGCAGAATGCAGCTGCGGCAACATGTGTTGCTTGTTGCTTTTGACAGGTATCCCTTTGAAGATGGAAAACCCATGTGTCTTGTTGTTGCTTTTTGCATGGTTGTGGAAGGTCAACCTTTCCACGATGTCAACATGGCTCGTTCCCATGACTACTTTTTCATTTTGAAGGGGATTCCGCACGGTGCCCTCTTTTCCTTTTTTGGGTAAGGGTTCCCCTGACTCACCCAACAACGATTGAAGGGGTGAAGTTCCCTTGGAACAGAAAGTGCGGTCAAGATAAAGCTGTAGGTGCCTTCCCGCGGATTGTGCCCAGAATCGTAGACTATTAGACTATGGCTTTTGGGTCTACTTGCAATACGTTGATTTAGGTCCTCACTGCGTTCCCTGCCAACGTAGAACCCTTTGGCTAAATGCAAGGGGTTGCTCCAAAGACCCTGGCACCAGCTTAGAAAGTTGGCCCCGAGCGGTGCTCTACCCTTGTGGTTTGACCATCGCAGCACCTGCAACCTGGAAATATGAAGGTTGACCAGTTGGGACCTCGTTCTTCAAAATGGACAGAGGGGAAACCCAAAGGTTAAAAGTCGATTCGCTTCAGACATTAGGTTGAGACAACTAAGTCTTTCTGGAAAGGACAGCTCCACCACCGGAAGGCAAAGGAAAGCGTCAAACACTTTTCAACTCAGCAAATGCTTCCCTTCCCTGAGTTCTGATTGCGACTCAACTCGTTCTGATTCATTGACCCAAGGGTGTATTTGATCTGCGTCTGACCACAAAAGTCAGACAAGCTCCGTGTGTTCGTCCCCCCACATGCATTTGCATATTTTTCTGTGCGACGATCTAGTTTGTTGAAATCCCCCCGCCCAAAAGTTGGGCGACGGGCCGTCGAGATCGAGTCCGCTCCTCGATGCCGTCGCCGTCCGCCTCCAAGACCTGAAGCAGCTCCTGGTGGCAGGCCCGCGCCACCTGGGGAGGGGCTGAGAGGGGGGGTCGAGGGGTCGAGGTGGGTGGGCAAGGAAAAGCACAAAGGAAGGAGCAAAGGAACAAAGGAAACCAAACTAACAAACAAACAAACAAACAAACCAATAAACAAACAAAAAAAGCAACAAAAAAACAAACAAACAAACAAACAAAGGGACATGATGGGGATGTCGGAGACAAAGGTGCCAGGAAGTGAGCAAATGATCAAACCAAAGTACTAGTGGGTGAACAATAAACACATGGCAAAGTGCTGGCTCCATGGCAATCGTTGTCATATGTTTCATCTTGCTGGATTTCGGCGTTTTAACAACCGAGCTTCCTTCAATCTTCCCGTAGTCTAGGCGTAGTTTTCCTCTAAACAGGAATCCAACCTCAGAAACAAGCATCGTTTTTTCGGGCTCTTCGTGGATTACCGGCTAAAAGACACAACCAATGTTCGGCACCCCTCATTTTCCTGGCAGGTCGCAACCGCGGGGAAACGGGAGGACCATCCAGTTGAAAACATGTGGGTGTTTCAGTAGGGTTCCCCGAGTATGTCCCTTTAAACATTCCGAATCAAACTCTCCATCCGGCGTGACAACGACAAGGTCATGTTCAAACCACCCTGATAAGGGTGGTAACAAGAATCTTCGCGTATCTCTAAATCGTCCGTTTACCTTCGCCGGTCTCTTTTAAGCCTTTCCATTTAGAAAAGACATGATGCCGCCTTGCTGCAACTCCATGTTTGTTGGAAACGATTCCCATACCTTGAATGCTGAATCACCTTTAGGGAAGTGGAACCAGATCATTCTATCCGGTCGGCTCAAAGGACAACTAGTCACCGGTGAATAAATTGTAAATGTCCCTGCTGGACACATCAAGTGCCAGACTGTTCCCCTCACCCCCCCCCCCCCCCAGGTCGAGGAAAAACAAAAGATCGATTGGAGCGTGGAATCTAGGGCTTGTTTAGATGCCAAATCGAGTGCACCTACCCTAAAGGAGTGCCACAAGTGTGCCAAAAGAGAGCAACAAAGGGCAGAATCCAAAGCTGGGGCGTTCGGGCCTTTTCTGCATTGCGTCACAAGGCAAAGAGAGAGTTCAAGTGACGTATCGCCATGCACACCCTTTACAGCACCCATGGTATTGTTGGAATGGTTGAGCCAGGGGCAGCCGGTTTGTCCCAACATGGGTCACCTCCAAAGCTGGTGGTTTCCCTTTAATTTCCCTTCAAACCAACCCCACAAAGGGTACCATAGGCAGTTTCGGCTTTTTGCGGGGGAAGGTTTCCCCTGTGACTTACACTTTACAATCCCCAAAAAGCGAGTACCAACTTTCGTGCCCTGTCCGTTCGGTTTCCGAGGCGGTTTCCCGTGGGCTTCGGCCTGCTGGGCAGCATCGCGCAGCGACACCGGCTCCATGGGTCATGGCACCGCGGGCCGCAGGTCCCTGTTGTGTGGTTTTTGCAAGTGTCGATCGCCCAAGGCAACCCAAAAGCCTACCTCCTACTCCAAATACCTACGTTTTGCTGAATAAGACACAGGCGTTTACCATGGAAAGCCCCGTCTGTTGCAATATTGGGTATGTCGGGATCGAACTTGCCCTTTTGTTTGGGTGGACGATGAGGAAAACCAAGGGGACGCTCCAGCTTCAGGGGGACCATTCCTGTGACCAGAGATCAAATGAAGGTCGTTCTATCTGCAAACGTTACAATAGCTGCAAAGCTGCAAAGCTGCAAATAACAGAACCCCAAGCAAAGGACCTTCATCCTTGGAAAACTCACTTTACCTCCAGGTGAGCTCACACATGATTCGGCAGCCCCTTCCATCAGGTGAAGAGTTTGAATAGTCTTTGAGCCTGGCTTTCTCTAGCTCGGCTGAGCTGAGCCCCCAGTCAACTGATGTCTCAATGCAAACGGTGTGCTGGAGTTGAAGGGTGGTTTCAACACCCAATCGGCATTTGCTATGATCAAATGAGCTTTGGATGTGTCCAACGAAAACACGCGTAACGAAAACACACGTGACTAGCTGAACCATCACGGCCCACACAATCGCCGTGTCTCCGGCCATCCCTTTCCCAAACAACCTTCCTCACTCCAAAAATCCATGGGGCTAGCTGTTCCAAGGCGTGGGCTCCTTGTCTGTGAGTGGGAGGGAAGCCCACGAAAGCTCTCTCAAACGGCGAAAAGCGATGTTTGAAAACCTGAAAAGGCGACGGTTTGATTAACCAACGTTGGAATTCATGAGGAGGGTCACCCACCACACAAGAAACCCGGATCACGAATCGGTCAACTTCCCCCAAAGGCGGCCACCAAGTACACAGCTCTTTGAGTGACCGGGTGCAGTGCTTGGGTGCGTGCGTGGATCAGGAGTGGCTGGCTGTCTTACAGCAGCACATACTCAACGTGTGATAGCCGAGCACGGCTCTGGTTTTGCCGCGCGCACACACGCACGCCCATGCATTCACGCCCACATGCCCACCCGCGCCCACACACACACACACAGACACATCCACGTGCACTCGAACCCACTCGCATGCACACCTACAAGTTTCCCCTACCTTAACACCAGGAAGAAAAGAATAGAGACGAATTGAAACATCACTTTGGTCTGACCCTTTGCAAACTTAAACAAACACAAAATCCAATGTGGGCTAGGCGCGGCCTGACTTCTGAATGTCATATACTAGTCATATACATATACATTACTATTCTGTCTGTGTGCGTAGGCATGTCTACATAATAGGAACCACGGACAACATATAGTGTGTGTGGGGTGTTCGCTAAAGGCACGGTTGCCTGACTTGCTTGCTCGTGGCAACTCAGCAGTCTTTGCAATCAAAGAGTAACGGACAGATTGTACGTATCAGTCGCGGATACGGTGGTTGACCCAAAGCACCAGGCAGCTTCCCTTCCTTCGCACCTTCATTTTTGCGCCTGCAAAGAACTGCCATCCGTTATGGGGGCGTGATTGCAAACAATCGGGCCACAGTCAAGTGGTATGAATACGGCAAACGGCAAAAATGTGCCAAATGCAATTAGAGTCCTGTGTTTCTACGTGTTTAAGCGAAAACAACGGGAGCCATTTTGTGAGATTCAATCGAGGTTTGCCGTCCTTTGACAGTGGTTTGAGCACCTCCTTCCGAACTACACCTCAGCCAAATCTATACAAAGCAGTCACTCGTACACCGCCCGGTGCGACCGCAAAAGGTGCAACGTGCACTCGTGGGCTTTGTGGTGCCCGCAGACTGAACAGACTGGCTGGTCGCGGTGCAAATATTCATCCGGGGCTCGCTTGGCGAGTCGCGTCGCCGGGCCCCTGAATTCTTTGGGAAGACAGGGGTCACGGGAGTTGATCAATGCGCTGGCCATGCAAAAAGGCACCAAACATGTTGGCACATGGAAGTTGACCTCGATAGATGGAATAAAACAACTGCGCCAGTGGCTTGTTAAATCAAGTTTCCTTTTGGCCGACTCTTCATCAACTCCCTCAAAATGGACACTTTGGGCATTCCCTAAATAGGGAACCCGTAAAAACGGGTTCTCTTTCGGCGCTACGGGTTTTGCTTTCTGAAGGGACACCCATCCCTTGGGTTCCCACGCTTGACCAACCCAATATCTTATTAGTCTGCGCGCGGAGGCCATGCTCCCAAAGCCAGGGCATCCGGGTGGAGGTTCGGCTGGTCCAAGTCGTTGTGGGCCGTCACCACGCTGAAAGTGTCGTCCTCGCACGGTTTGGCAACTCAACCCTGCCGTAAACCAACTTTGCCAACAACACCTGTGTCTGAAACAACCTTGCTTTGATTCCGCTTTGGTGGCCGAATGGAGTCTCGTGCATGCATAGACAAGGGAAATTGAAAAAGAAACTTCCGTAAGACTGGAACAATTTGGGTGCTTGTTTTGAGGGTACCCCTGTTTGGTGGCTTTAAAGCAACACCACAATTTTGAGGCAGGGGGTCCTCTGGTCAGTAGACTCCTCCGGAATAATCCGAGGTTGACATGAAAGGTGTGCTTGAACCCCGGCACTTCTAGGTGTTTGTCAAAATGGGATCTCAAAAATGGTGGGTTCCTTTTAGTCTCCCTGATCGCCAACCTGAAAAAGGCCTCAAACAACACACGCACACACACCTTCCCGGGCGCCCCCTGTTGGAGTCGTGTCGGAAATCACCCGTTTTTTGAGGTTTCCAATTTCAAGCATGTCTTTGTTTAATAATTACACCAGCCTCGACCCCAAACAGCAAAAAACATGACAGGTCTGCATAACCCGAAAAAGGCTTGTCTCCTTCATGTAAGGTGCGAAATTGAGTAGCTTATGTGAGCAACACATAGTTCCAATCAGTCTATGTATGTCCCTGTAGGAAGTGCCCATTTTTGGGAAGAGGACACATCGGGTCCATCCATCTCCTTGACGCCGGGTAAAAGCATCGATGTTGTTCATCGACTTCAAGGGGGAAAATGCCATGTCAATGGCATGAATCAACCTAACACCTGGCATTAATCAAAGGAAGTTTCGAAGGATCTTTCGTAGCACGGACACTCAATGCACTTTTCCATCACCACAGCATTTGGTGGCCGTCCCGCTACTCTGCTGAAACTTGCGCATCAGTCTCAGCAGCTTGCGGCCGAGACTGGACACATGCCATTGCTATCTTCTTCTCGAGCTCGGCTAAAGGTCTTGCCACAAGCAAAGCAACAGAGCATTTGCATAAACTTGCAGACTGCGCCTTGTAGCGGTACGGCCGGGACATCCTCGCCTAGCAACGCAGACACACGCCGCGCCAAATTGGCAAGCGTCAGCAAAGGTGCCCGTTTGGCGCGCACCTCTGTCACCCGGCACAGCTCCAGAAAATCCTCAGTGTTTGAGCCGGCAGTAGCTTGGTCATCCAGGGCCTTCATCTCTGTCGTGTCCAGCGCGCCGCGTGAACCGTGTGAGAACTTTGCCCCAACTTACCAATGCTGGCTGCGCAGTGAAGTTGGCCCTTACAGTTCGCAGATTGGTGCTCACATGTGCGGTGAACGACCGGCGGCCGTCATTCCAACGCACGCCGCTGGCAACAACTTCTGGGCCTTGCGTTCACTCAGCTCCAGCAGCACTGTAATCAACTGGCCGGGTTCGTGAACTGTTTCCAGGTTGTCAAGGTCAGCGAAGTAGGTTGCCAGGAAAGGCTCCTATGCATCAACCAAGTTGCTTGACTGTGTGTTCGCTTGTCCCTCTCTGCGATAGGACCCGATCTCCAAGAGCAAGTAACCAGGAAACCACCAAGCCAGGAAGCCTCTGCGATTGGCGAATCGGCTCTTGTTGATGGGACCCCAACAAGAAACCATCAAAACCCTTATTAGATTATACAGCCACCGAACATGCGTCGAAACATGGCCATGACCGTGTGTCCTTGTTGCAATCACCACATTGAGCACCAGAGCCGCCATTCCGTAATGTTGCTAGGGAGTTCGCCACGCACGCAGTGTGTCCAGCAGCACCAAAACCTTTTGCTTGAACGGGTCGGAATCGATGTTCAAGGCGTAGTGGCCAAGCTGCGTCGTCAAAGAAGAAATGGATGGGCCATGTCTGTAGCACGTGTTGCTTCGGTGAGCGATGGTCTTGATGCTATCAGCACATCCCTCCAGCTTGGTTTCCCGACAAGCCACGTATGCTGCGAGCAAGTAAATCAGAATCTCGCCCGGAGCTGCCAAATTCAAGTCTAGATCTGGGAAAAGAACGTTGATTGCGAGAATGAAATGGAATTGCTCGGATTTCCAAAAATACTCACCGCCGGAGGCTAGCACAAGCGCCATGCAATACAGCTCACGTTGAACCCCTTTGGTGTTCCATGGGTCCAGAGACTGTAGGCAAGCTAGCGCCTCAGAGAATAGCACCTTACGACGTCCCGCCACGAAAACCCTTGAGCCCGCACTTGCAAGCCCTGGGCACTTTCGGACACGTGCAAAACAGCAGCGTCCATATTGCGGAATATGTGGAAAACAAGGCTGAGAAATCTGTCTTCAACCCTTCTGTCAGGAGGCAACGAGATATGTCAAAGCTGCGACCTTGGCAAGGTGTGAAATGCTTCAGCAAAATGCCTTTGTCAGTGGGACTGGATTACATAAGTTGCAATGAGGAAAAAGCGTCGCAGAACCAGCTAGCGAAGCGAAAGACTGGATATGATTTTGGCCGGGCCACATGGCTATCCAACTGAGAAGGTGCTAAATACTGGCAACAAGATAGGAGGCAAAGCTTACAACAGCACTGCCAACAAGAAAGGGTGCTCGAATGCTACCAAGAGGAGACTAGAAGATGGGTGGCCCGAAAGCATGAGCAGCGCACGGCGCCAAGTAATCCTAGCAAGTTCTCTGCGCAAGTTCCTCTGAGCAAGTTGTTGGCGCGAGTTCCTTTGAGCAAGTTCTCCAAGCAAGTTCTTGGCACAAGTTATCTGAGCAAGTTCTCTCAGCAAGTTTCTCTGACAGGTTTCAATGAGCAAGTTGTCTGAGCAAGCTCTCTGCGCGCAGCGCTTGCCGCAACACACCGCAACACACCGCAACACACTGCTAGCGCCACTTGCTGGTGCTACTTGCAGAGACTGGGAGACACAGGGAGACAAGTGGGAGAATCTGACCGCAGACACTGGGAGACAAGCAGGAGGCACGACCCAGCCTCTGGCCTCCAGACACAAGGAGACAAGCGGGACTGGGACAAGCGGGAGACAAGACCCCGGAGACGGCGTCATCCGACCGCAGAGACTGGGAAACACAAACAGACAAGCGGGAGACACGACCCGGAACCAGCGTCACAGCATCTGGCATCTGACCGCAGAGACTGGGAGACACAGGGAGACAAGCGGGAAACACGACCCCGGAGCCAGCGTCACAGCATCTGGCATCCGACCGCAGAGCCAGCCAGATACAGGGAGACAAGCGGGAGACACAACTCCGAAGCCAGCGTCACAGCATCTAGCATCCAGACACAGGGAGACAAGCGGGAGACGCGACCCCGGAGCCAGGGGACGGAGCCAGAGTCAAAGCATCTGGCATCTGACCGCGGAGACTGGGAGACACAGGGAGACAAGCGGGAGACGCGACCGGGAGCCAGCGTCACAGTATCTGGCATCTGATCGCAGAGACTGGGAGACACAGGGAGACAAGTGGGAGACACGACCCTGCAGCCACCGTCACGGCATTTGGCATCTGACCGGAGAGACTGGGAGACAGGAAGACAAGCGGAAAACAGGACCCGGAACCGGCGTCACACTTTCCCATTCTCTATACCTCAAGTTAGAACCCCAATGCTTCGCTGTTTGGGGAAAAACATAATCTTTGAGGGTCCATCATCTATCGCTGGATGGGCTGTCGAAGAAACAGCGCAGCTCACACCGGTGGCAAAAAGACGCTGGGCAGGGTGTGTGCCAGCCGTGGCCAAAACCAACCAAAGCCAAGCAAGCCGGAATAAAGAAACCAACCAGAGAAACGGGGCCACGGCTGAGACAAACCTGGGCGAGGCCGGCCCTTAGAAACAACGCTGGTCCACGGCAAACCGAGACAGTTCACATTTTGCAACCAGCGCCTCGTCAACCTCTCTTCTCCTTCTTCTTCCCCCCCTACCTCGTCGGGTCCTGCGGCGCCTGCAACAACCATCCTTGACCCGAAGCGGTATTCATGTTCTTCCTCCAGAAGGGAAAGCACAAGCCTTCATATGTTTGTCCATAGTCCCTTTTGTGTTGTGTTGATACTCCTTGTGGGGCATAGTGGGTTCAGCGATTGTGTTTTGCAACCCATAGCAGGAAACATGTTGAAATCCAACCAACCATGTCTGCTTTGCAGCCCAGCTTGAGCTCCAACAATATGTCCAACCTACATAAGAAGCCTTGCCACATTGGAAACTCACGTTGAAAGGATCCTGAGAAATGACATGGAAGAACACCAAAAGGGAGAAACATAGGGATGGATTCCCCCGGTGTTGTTTAGAACACATTGTCACATCTCCAAAAATAATCCTACAATTTTGTTGGGTCACACGAGGGAGTCTCTCGTGCCGCCAAATGGACGACGCCAAGCTCCCGATCGTTTTCGGATCCTGCATTCAAGGGTTCGTTTGAAGGGCCGGGGTTCGGAACGCACTGAACAGTTCGACTTCTGCATTGGCCTAGATATCTGCACTGGAACGATGCACGTTTGGGTGGCCTCAAGAACAAAAGCACGTATCCTGGCCTCCTGCCAGCTCAAGCCTCTGGGGAGCGCAATCCAAGTTCACGATTGCAAGAGTTGCAAACAGGGACCTGATGCTCGAGCGGGAATTAGGTGGGCCCTCAACAAACCATAGATGCAGTCATGGTCATCCTTGAAGTGTGGCGACCACCCCGGAGCCTATCTGGGCTGAGACCCCAAAGCTCAGCTGTTGGGGAGAGGGGGGGGGCAGAAACCAGAAATAAATCAAATAGACAATTAAACGAATAACAAACATGGGTGTCTTCATCCGCATTAGGGGGGCCCGGTATGGGTCACTAGGCGCTTGAGGTGCGCCCCTCAAACTGATTCCAGTTTGGATTGGATGCCCAGGCCCTTCTTTTAGAAGAGCGGGTTCATGGGGTTCGTAAAGGGACTGAAGATATCAAATCAAAACAACAAAAAACGAAAGGCGGAAAGCTGCACCTTTTTTTGGGGCAAAACTGTCCATCAAACTTTAACCTTCGTCTGCCATCTACTTGCTCAGGGGCCACATGGGCTAATTTAAGGTGCACCATCCTTAGTCTCGTCTAAAGTCTTGCTCGTAGCTCTGCCATGTGTATGATTGACCCGTGAGTCAGGAGTCCCGGTCCCCCTGGAAGAAAGGTTTCCCGACTAAAAAGGGCCAACTCTCAGTATTCACTGGCGCTTCTTTGTAGGCTCGGCATCATGATCTTGCCATTGTCAAAGTCACCCCCCCCAAGAAATGGGATGAAGGGAAACAGCCCCAGTGTCCGACTTAGACAACCTGAGCAACACTGTCAAAATCATGACCCCAGCATCGTCTCGGAAACGAACTCCGAGGACGTGGCGCGACAATCTCCGCCTGTGCCGCTCTTCGCTCTGCAAAACCTCGATGGGACCCGGCTCGCAAGCACTCGCCCGGCTCTTGTCCGGCCACGTCACACTGTAGAGGCTGGCGAGGAAGCCCTGGACTTTTTTCACCGCTGGACATTGCCGGTGTTCCTGTTGGTTGCCCTAAAAAATACCAAAATGGTTCACCATATTTGATGTGTTCTTATTGGGCCTAAAGTGAACCATCCCTTGTGGCTTCCCATGGGGATTCCTAGATTGATTCACAAAACCTTTGCAATTTATACTGAGAACCGGCGTCCTCAGAATTACTTCCGGGCCCTGGTGGTGATGTCTTACTAAACTGGACCCAGCGATCATCCAGGGCTCACCGGAACGGGAGATAAGAAGGTCAAAGCTCAAGGACAACCAATGGCGCCAACATGTGCTCTTAGTTCGGGGTTGGTTGGCACTCACCGAAAACATGCGAAGGTCCCAAGGTGCAGCTTGGCTGTCCCTCCCACCACGAAAGCCGCTGAGGGGTCACCACTACGATGGTGAGCCAAAAAGGGCCTGATGATGAACGCGGTGGGCGAGGGACAACTCAACATTCGCCCCACAAGAGTCGGTAGAACAGCACAAGGCATCCATCTTGGGTCCTTGTTGCGACTTCTTTTGGAAGAAGATTGCACGCAGGCTCCCTTAAGAGGACTCCTACACTGTAGGGGGCAATACGTTCGTCCAAAAAGACAGTGAATATTCACACTTCACAAGCGACTGTGGCTGCTTGCCGCCTTTAACTTGCAGCCTCTTGGGAATCCACAGTAGCAACCCTTGCAGTTGCAAGCGAACACGCCGAACCATTCAAGCGTGCTGAACCAAGCAGAATTGGTTCGGTGAAAAGGCCTATGCTGGGTTCTGTGAACCAAAGACATCACCGCCCATCACAGCCTTGCACTATGTTCAAGGCACAGCCCCTACTAGCATACAACCAAAACAAGCGGTCCTGACAGGAATACGGTCTTGCGGGCGTCTTATGCTGGTAGAAGGGAGGGTATTCAAGTGGCAGGTTGAAAACTTGAGGACAGCGAGCAGCACCTCTGGCATTGGCAACCACCTTGCAAGATTTGAGTATGTGTCGAAACAAAGAAACCCAAAGGGCGGCTGTCCCTGTGTCGCTGCTTGGGTGCCCTGGCTCCACACACACACACACACATATTTAGGGAATCAATTGCCCTTCCACATGACTCATGATCCTGAAGCTTCAGTTTGCTTTCGGCCTAATTAGAGAAAAGGTAATTGAGGCTGGAAAACATCCAAAGGCAGTCTGAGTAAAATCCACCTCAAGGTTCTTTGCGGTATCATGCTTGGTGCTGTTTTGAAGGGAATCCACAGGGAAGCCGTCCATTTTTGGGGCTCATGATGACAAGGCTCACTGGGTGATTGCCTCCCAGCCTCCCAGCTTCCCAGCCATGTTTCGGGTTGGACTCGGGTGTTTGGTGTGGCTTGAGGCTTGGTTTTAGCTGAGGTAATGGCGCAAACCACGAATTCCAACCACAACCCTGTCAAAGTTGCAGAAAATTGCAGGCTTTCCCTGCTTCCGCACGGCAGCACAAAACGCAAAGAACTCGCCCTCGACAAAGAACACATCCCACAACAAACCGCCCACCGTATCGTTGAAGTTGGCCTCCACGAAGGAAATAATGACCCCAGCAACTCTGACTTTGATCCTTTGATAACCCCTCGAAATTTGAAATATAGCAATGCCCCACCCGAAGTTCCTTCCGTTTGCTCTTGAAGGCCCCCCCCCGCCCAGGGCGGGAGGGTGTGATCAACTCGTGTGCCATGGCACATACCTATGTGGACAAAGACTTGCATACAAGGACCCTGAAGATTGTATTCCTTTCTGTTCCCCTTGAGCCAACCTGAAAAAGTGGGAGACGCTCGCACACACAACACACAACCACACACACACACACCATCCATCTTCCGCCTCGTCTGCCAGGCGCGTGACGCAGTTGTGGAAGGCCGCCTCTCCCGGCCCAAAGCCCGAAGACGTGGATGCCGTCGGGTGAAGGGGTGTGTGCTTTTGTTGAGGGTTCCCCGTTTTGCGGTTTGGTTTAAAGGGAAAAGGAAAGCCAATCCATTTTGGGATCCCTGATTTTGAGGCATACCCAGATGGCACAACCTCCAAGCATTTTGGTTTGCCAACTCCTTTGCTTACCCACACAAAAAAAGGCGCCATCTACTTTGTTTTGTAAAAGCTGAGGGTCTCTCGGCACACAAGGTTTTTGGGGCCGGGCTATTTGACATAAGTTCCCTACCCACTTTTCGGGAAACATGCATGGGGCAGAATCCCGTGAATCCCTTCCCCCCAAATGGAATCCCCCCCAAAACCCTTGTGCCGCAACGTATGAATTATGGTCAGGAGTCAAGAATCTGCTAGCTATGGTAACATCAAGCCCCGCAGAACCTTTTCCGTGCTCGCAAAGATCAGGCGGTCCCCGGGGTGCAGAATGGTGTAGGTCTTCTCCGGCAGCTCCCACAGGCCTTTCAGCCCACAGCCTCCGTGCACCACCTCGTGGGGAACAAAACAGCCAAAAAGAGTGGCTCTGTGCTTTCGCTTTGGAGGTGGTACACCTTGTCTTGGATTTAGTCCTGCAATCGGGGAAACTACCCGTTTTTTTTTGGGAGGCGGGGGGGGGCACTTATGCTGGGAGTTGGTACACCTTGGGGTTGTACTGCAAACCGCAAGGCAACCGCTTCTTGTTTGAGGGCATCATGTATTTGTTGAGCGCCGTTGAGGGTAGTCTCGTGTTTGGCTTGCTTCTGATTTGGCCAACGTTCAACCCCCAACCCCCGACGATTTGTTTGGGGGCTCCCCCTATTTGGAGAGACAGCTCCACTAGGCTACTAGAGACTCACACCCAACCTTGAGCAAAAGGTCCAGAAATGAGTGACATCCTCACCACACCCCCAGCACTCCGCCAAAATGGCGCATGAAGGAATTTGTACGTATATCGCAGCCAAAATGGGGCCTTTTTGTCATGGTGCTGCTTTCTTTACTAGAGATCCTCTAAACAAAGGATTCACAAATTGGAGTTCCCCCAGCGTATTAAATGGGTGCAAACTTGCAGGCAGATGTAAATCACAATTGATCAAAGATGTTCAGTGTACTCCTCAGGCAACCCCCAACTTCCGAGCCTCCGAGTCCCGGTGCATAGGGAGTACCGTAAATTTGTGTATAATCTTAGATGGATGAATCCACAATGGCGGCAGCTTTACAAGCAGGTTGCCTCGATCCCTGCAACAAACCATAACATAAAACACAAAACAAACATCGAAGGATCGGTTCAACAGTTGATCTCCTGCTCCCACATGCCGACGGTCGGTACCATGACCGGCGAAGACCTGTGATTGTCGTCTTGTTTTTATAGCCCTATTATTCCTGAGGGTTTGTTCGTTTTGCATCTTCAAAGCATACGAAGCTCCAGCTCGAAATTTGCACACTTTGGACGCTACAAGTCTAAGTGTAGTATACAAATTGCACTCTGGCAGTTCGCAACTACTCAGCACAGGGTAGTATACGAAGTACACTCTTTGGGCGTTCCGGCTCGAGAGTTGCAACGTTTCACTCTAAGTGCACTTGTACGAAATCGAGGTATCAAACTCATGAGTTTCCCTGCTGCCGTTCGGCGCGTTCTACTGCGCATGTTGGTATGGTACGCCATGTCCCTCCATTTGCATATTGGTCTTAGCCAGACGTTTTGCTGGGCGCTCACATGTTGCTGGCTATGTCAGCGGTGGGCCAAGATACATGTTCGGTTTTACCAAAGAGTTGAAGGTTGACGGTTGAAGGCCAGACAAACGTTATTCCCAAGGCAAAAGGCGTTCATAACAAGACACGCTCCCAACAAATTCAAACAATGACCTGCCAACTTGACGTTTCAAAAGCGGGTCAAACAGCCACTTGGAGACTCAGTCGCCGAGCAGCCGCCATGGGGCTGATCCGGAAATTGTGGCGCATGTTGAGCGCGGTAAGCTTCAAGACCTTGCGATCACCCCGAACGTTTGTTTGGGTTGCTGGCTTAGAAATGGGTTTAGGGTTGGGTTTGGGGTTGGTTTAGGGTGGGTTGGACGGGGGCGTGCAGATTGCTTCAGTGCTGGGTTGGGGTAAGAGTGGTCCTGTTACTGCCTTTTTCGGGGTTGCTCCAAAGACCTGACAGTGACAAGAGTAGGACTTTGATTCCTCGAAAGGGAAACTGTGTATCTCGGAAACTGTTCGAGGCTCAGAGGAACTTGGTTTACCTCCGAGGAAAAACACAACACAACTTTCACTTTGAATGGGCCAAACTTTGCCCAAAGCTATCAGGGTTGCCAAAGCCAGGCCCGTGTCTGGCCGGGGTCCCTTTTCGCTTCGCTGCCCAAGGGCCTAAGGTCCGAAAAGGACCTCATAAGTTTAGACCATCTGATCCAACCAACTGAGCAGCGCCCAAGATCCATTGACCATTAAACAGTGGCCCTACCTTTTTTGGTGAAACAGATTTCTGAAGGCTTGCTACAACCCCAACTACTAAAATGACCTCAAATGGTTAGCATTGAGCACATGTGAGGTTTGCCCGCCCACCCCGCATACACGATCACGATTGGAACATGGGAAGCAAGGCAATGCCCCGTTCTTGAGACCCGGAGCCCAAAAAGGGAAATAGAAGGACCCCTGCCAATCCCCTAAAAGCAGCCAACATGATTAGAGTTAGGCCCAGTTATAGAATGTATATTTTATTGTTTGCTTCACTTTGAGTCACTGGTAAGTAAAATGTAAACTGTATCCTAAGTCTACCCCAGCCAGAAAGTGATGCGAACAGACACCCACATGGAGCTACAAGGGACCCTATTTCCAAACACGGTGCTGGTTGCAACCAGGCGACCTTCTCAGAGGGCTCTTGGCTTGACGCGCTCTCGACTGGACCAGCGCACATGCCTCACCGGCATTTGTCCAAGCTTCCTGTTACATATCGGACGAGGAAACACAACTTGTAGGAAGGACCCGCAATTTTCCCAATGACGTACTGCAAACGGGATTGCCCTGAAGTGAATTTGTCCCCACGAAACTCAACATGGAACCGATAGTGGAAAAAGACTTGGAAACTGTCTGCTGGCCAGCTGGGTACGTCGCGTCTCTAAACAACATAAAATGGGTGTGCTTTCCCTTTGGCTTCGAAACAACCATGGAAAGGGTACCCCGAAATTGAGCCCAAAACGTCAATCGGCCAGCCTGAATAAAACCTGTGAAGTTCTGGTTCCCAGGTAGAGAAGGGTCCATGGTGCCGAGGCGACCTATCTAAGAATCTAAGAACCGCCCGTGTCTTTGGAGCATGCCCCGGAGGGGGGGGGGCATGCTCAAAATGCGGGTTTGTCGCTTTTTTAGTTGCTAATTGCGCCTTCCTTTTTGTTACTTTGTTGTTTGTTTCTGCTTGGTGGGGGAGGGGGTTAAAGGACAACTACGAGGAAACAAATCCTTTCCCCCCCAAAAAAAAAATGACACATGCCCAACTGTATGTTGAGGGGGTTCTGGGGATGCAGCTCCCGCGCCTGCACTTGCAACTATCGGTCCACCAGGTCAAAGCCTGTTGACAGGTGGCCGACCAAAAAGCTAGTCCCAAGTAGGCAGCAAACTGCAAGCTGCTGGTTCTCGCAAATCCCGGGCTCAACCCCCCCAGTCCCTTTCGGGGAAGGCTCCCAGGTGCGTGAAGAGGCATGAGAGCAAGGGCTGGACAGTGGCAGGGCTCTGCCAGAAGCGCCGGCAGAAGTGGCCCAGCAGGAAATCCGCAAAGTCAGGACTGCAAATGGAGGCGGCCACCTGC